TCCCCTCCCTGTCACCACCCTCTGCAAGAAGCCAAAGCAGCCCACTGCCAGCAGATTCCCATAGTCTCTTTCCCTTGGGCAGGAATGGAAACAGAAGTCTCTCTCCCTCCTCCTCCCCCGTCCCTTGCCTGCCTTCCTCCCCTTGACTGTTCTTTCTCTGGTCAGGTCGCAGGCTTTGAAAGCCATTTGGGTTTTATGTCCAAGTAACTAGGTAGAAGACAGAAGCTCTGACTCCTGGTCCCCAGTCAGCTTTTCAGGCCAGCACGTCATAGGATTTGAACGCAGGCTCCAGGATCTCCCCAACCAGGCCAGTGCCCTTTTCCCGAGCGGTTTCTGTGTACCGGGCACCGCACTCAGTGCTTGAGGAGCGTTATTTACTCCTGACGACAAGTTCAGGAAAGAGCCACTAGGAGCTCTAGTTTACAGATGTGAAAATGGACATAAGCAAGTTGCTTAAGGTCACGCGCACCACAGCCTGGTTCGGGAGCCAGGTCTTATGACTTCAAAGTTGAGCTCTTTGCCACCATATCACACTTCCCAAAGCATGTTCCGTGAATCATTCATTCCTCTAGGTCGGCCAGGAGTGACAGAGACCTGGGGTCAAGCATGCTAGGATGACGCTAGCCTCTCGACTTCTTGGAGAGTCTCAGAACATGTTAACAGATTAAAGGCTCTGAGAAGTCCTGCAGGGAGTAAATCCGTTTAACTCTCTGTAACCCAGTGTGTCCCAAACTTATCTGCACTTGGATCCCACCTCCCCACCCCACCTTGTTTTGTTTGTTTGTTTGTTTGTCTGTTTGTTTGTTTGTTTTTAAAGGGACAGTTTCCATCCCAGAGAAGGCTCTGGGAAGTGCCACCCAAGGTCACATTACCTGTCGTGTTTAGATATTGCCTGGCAATACGGCACAAGTTCTGTGCCTGGACCTCAATAAATATTGGTTGGATAAAATGAATAGGCTTCTCCCATTTTCAGCCATCCTCACCCATTCCCCACTCTTCTTTTCCCTGAGAAATTCCTCAGCTGGGGGATATACCCAGGCCTGCAGATAACCCACTCTTGATGTCCTCCTGGGTGGCTCTTCCGGGCTGGACTGGTCACGTGGGAAGAAAATTCCATTCAGGCAGCTCCTGAGGCCTCCCCTAGTCCAGCCCCTCGGAGGTCTCTGTTCTAAGGATGAAGGGAAACGTTGGAGACAATCCCGTCCTGTTTTGGCCCCAGGAATGTGGGTGTGGAAGAGGGGGTAGAAAGTCTGCAGCCCTCCCAGCCCTTAAGGCAGAACAACTCAGCCCTTGAGGTGTCCCTCCTCCCCTGCTAGCGCTCACACCTCCATTTCCACGCTCCTCCACTCCCTTCCTCTGCGTGTACCTCTTCCTCCCTACCCTCCCGGCCTCGGCCTCAACTCCCTACTGGAATGGAATCAGAAGTCCTCACCGGGGACCACGAACACACACCCAGTTCGGGAGATTCAGGGGTAACTGCTACGGGACGGGGCTCAGCCCTCCTGTGCCTTCAAATGCAGCCAGGGTCAGGAACCGCGGTCTCCCACCAGTAGCCATGGCCCTCTCCCCCACCCTTTGGCAGCACCCCCTCGGCAAGCCTCCTACCCTGGCACGGCAGCCACTGTGCCCCTTCCTCCCCTCTCCTGACCCCGGAGCGGCGCTGGAGAAATGCCGCCTCCACCGCTACCAACTGGGACTCCCAGCTCAGCGCCACTCGCCAGCACGAGTAGCGGGCCTGAGTCTTGTCATCTTCAACCTCCTCCTATTCTGGGCCTTCCTCACTCCCTCTATGTTCCCTCCTGACCCCAGGCATAACGCTCAGCTCCCTGTCTGCTACCGGAAAACAAAATTGAGGCCGCCGGGAGCACATGATCTCCATCAAATTCTTGCCCCCTACCGATCCTGCTATCACCGTCCCTACCGCTTTCCTGTTAATTTTAGAAGCGGGCCGAAATCCAGGTCAGATCCCCCTAGCCTCTAAAGTCAGGTTGCCAGGGTTCAAATCCCATTTATATCACTTGCAGGCTGTGTGATCTTGGGTAGGTCTCTTAATCTCCTCAGGGCCTCAGTTTCCTCATCAGGGAAATGGGATCATCCTTGCCTTTACCTCATAGAGTTGACGGAAGGACTAAATGAGATAAGCCCCACAGAGAGCTCAGCACGGCCCTGGCACGTTGGCAAGTGCTAACACAGGCTAGTTCTTGTCAGCTGCCCCCTGCCTCCTCCAGACCTTGTTCCGTCATTGCGAGCCTCTCCTGCTTCTAGCTCTCGCCTCTTGCTGCACAGAGATGCACAAGTCCCTCTGTCCTAAAAAGCTCCTCTTGATCCTGTGTTCCAGATTTCTCTTGTTCCTTCTCATCCAAGCCTCTTGGAAGCTTTATCGGCTCTCTCATCTTTTGTTCCTCAGTCCACCAAGGACCTGGCCAAAACCACCTGGTCCCTAACTTCTGCCGACTGCACTGGACTCTCTTGCTCATTTCCTCTTTACAAACAGGCTCGGCTTCAATGCCTCCTCAGCCCTCGCTTGCTTCTCCTTGTGTGTCCGTCCTCTGCCCGTCCCCTCCGGGGCTCATCATCCTCTGCCGGCCCCAGGAAGGCTATCATTACCCTGCATTTGTCCTTAGTTGATGGGTCTCCTCTGCCCCCTCACACTCCACTAGAGTGATCTTAGCAGCTCTCATGGGCCCGACTTCCTCTTGATGATCGATACCTGTCAGGGACTGAATCGTGTGCCCCCCAAATTCCTATGTCAAAGCCCAACCCCCAGTGTGACTGTATATGGAGATGGGACCTCTAAGGAGGTAATTAAGGGTAAGTGAGGTTATAAGTGCAGGGCCCGAATCTGATAGGACTGATGTCCTTATATGGAGAGGGAGAGTCACCAGAGATCTCTCTCTCTTTCTGGGCTCGCACAGAGTAAAGGTCATGGGAGGACACAGCAAGAGGGTGCCATCTGCAAGTCGGGAAGAGAAGCCTCACCACAGAGCAGCTCTGCTGGCACCTTGATCTAGGACTCCAGCATCTAGAGCCGCGAGAAAACAAATTGAAGCCTCCCAGCCTGTGGCATCTTGTTACAGCAGCCTAAGCTAACAGGACATCTAAGCGGATCAGTTAGCTTTGCCTGCATAACAAGCAATTCCAAAATTTAGTGGCTGAAAACAACAGCCATGTATTTAACTTCCCTTTCTGCGGGTCAGTGGTTTGGTCTGGGCTCAGCAAGTTGGTTCTTCTGCCCTTGGCCAGGTCCACTCATGTGTCTGTGGCCAGCTGCTGGCTTGGCTGGGTGCTGGCTGGTCAGGTGGCCCCAGGAGGGACGGCCCGTCCCCACGCCATGTTCTCTCTCATCCTCCAGCATGTGGGCCCGGGCTTGTGTTTACGGCAGTGCAGCATCAGGCTTCTAAGAAAGCAGAGTTGAGGTTTGCAGGAAAAGCCTCAAGCTAGAGGCAGAGATCCAGGTCTTTCCATTCACACCTGGTCCCCTGCTAGTGGACTTCTCAATATCAATTGTCATTGGGCAATGAACTAGGAATATAGACTAATAATTAAATAAGCAAATTCTGGGAGAAGCACCTAGCACTTTAAAATGTGGTTGATGGGGCGCCTGGGTGGCTCAGTTGGTTAAGCGTCCGACTTCGGCTCAGGTCACCATCTCGCGCTCCGTGAGTTCGAGCCCCGCGTCGGGCTCTGTGCTGACAGCTCAGAGCCTGGAGCCTGTTTTGGATTCTGTGTCTCCCTCTCTCTGACCCTCCCCCGTTCATGCTCTGTCTCTATCTCAAAAATAAATAAACGTTAAAAAAAATTAAAAAAAAAATAATAATAAAATAAAATGTGGTTGACAGGACTTGACAGACATGGGATGAGGAAGGATAGGGAAAATAGGCCTTCTCCTGGGCAGATGGCTTGGTGGGCTGGGTGGAAAGTGGAAATAACTTGCTGAGCACTTATTATATGCCGGATACTGTGCTAAGCACCCGGCACCCAGAGGACATCGAGGTGCTTGAGAAAAGGTCTCTGGAGCCAGACTTGCTGAATTTGAAGCTCAATTCTGTCATTAAGCCAGAGAAAGTTACTTGACCTTTCTGTGCCTCGGTCTCCTCCTCTGTAAAGGAGGCATGATCACGATACTTCCCCGGGCGCCTAGCTGGCTCTGTAGGTAGAGCAGGCGACTCTTGACTTCAGCCCCACGCAGGCCTGGAGCCTACTTCTATTGTTTTTTAAATCATCATCATCATCAGTAATGATGATAAATAATGGCACTTACCTCACGAGGCTGTTGCAAGGATTAAATGAAATAATACACATCGGTCCCATAGAAATGCCCAGCACGTGTGGTATCCTATAAACATCTGCTCTTGGCCTTACTGTCTCATTGAACCCTCGCAACCGACTTAAGAGACAGGCACTTCTGTCTCCACTTTACAGGTGAGGACACGGAGGCCTGGAAAGGTTAAATAATGGCCCTACCACGCATGGCTAGGATGTGGCTTTGGACCCAGGCAGCCATAACTCTAGAACCTGTTCTAGAACTTATGCTGTTAACCACCACTTCCTCCATACCCCGCCCACCCGCACCCCCCACCCATTTACCATTCATCAACAGCAAGAGAACGTGTTTGAGGCTGAAGATCATGAGTTTGGTTTAGATGTCGATGTGGAATTGCTGCTGAGACATCCAGGTAGAGACTTCTGGCCAGCAGCTGGGTTTGTACGTGGAGTACAGAAATCAAGACACGGTGGACTGATGGGGACATGTAGACAGATTGAGTCACGGCTGGTAAGGTCACACAGGGAGATGGTGTAGCACGACAGCAGGGGAGGGCCCGGGACACATTTAAAGAGTAGATGGAGGAAAAGGAGTCTGAGGATAGACAGCCACGGAAGAGAGAGGGAGGTTTTGGAGGGAGGGAGACCATACGTCTGGGTTCACCTTGGGAGAGTCTTAGTTTATGACGGTTAGCCTGGCATAATAATTCATTAGTGCCCTTTGTCTCTTTAAATAGTGGCCCAGTTTGGAAGACAAATGATATATTCACCCTCCTTCGGGGGTCAAGGAGGAGAAAGCATCCGGGAGGAGGAAACACAGGTGTAAAATACCACGGAAAGAACAAGGAAGCGGTGTTTGCAATGTGGTCCGCTGGAGTTGAGTTTGGCAAACTGCTGACTTTGAGAGAGGTTTCTGAGGAAAGAAGTGGTAAGTACGTGCATGCTGACATCTGAAAAGGAGCTCAGTAGAGATAACAGATATGCACACGTCACTATCTTTGAGACTGGGGTTACAGAAGTGAACAGACAGGACTGTCCTGATGGAATTGTGTGTGTTTTGGGGGTGGGGGGTGGGGTTGGAAGAATCAAGTAGAGTGACCTGGTAGAATCACTAGGAGCTATTTGAGGTACATGGGGTGGGGTGGGAAGCCCTCTCAGAAGCCCTAACACTTGACCTGAGAGCTCTGTGAAAAGGGTGAGTCTGCCTGGGAAGCTTAAGAGATGGAACCTTCCAGAGAGGGAGGTAAGAGTTCATGCAAAGGCCCTGAGGTGGGAGTTTGAAAAACACAAAGGAGGCTAGTAAGGGTGGCCGTGGAAACCAGAGGGGAGAAGACGGATTCGAGCGCTAGCACAAGTGAATCGACGGCCCTGGTGACGGACTGGATATGAGGCGGGGGGCGGGGGGAAGCAGGGGATAGTCTAAGGGTGACTTCCCATGTCAACTTGGGAAATGTGGGTACACCCCTCCCCACCCTCGACAGAGCTGGCAGAAGGAACTGGTTTTGAAGGAATGCGATGAATCATGTAGTGAGTTAAATAGTGGTTTATCCACTTGGACATGTCCTTTGTCCAACCCTATCCTGTGAACCTGTGAATGTAACCTGATTTAGAAGAGCAGTCTCTGCAGATGTAATTAAGGATCTTGAGATAAGATCATCCTAGGGTTAGAATGGGCCTTATATCCAATGACAGGTGTTCGTGTAAGAGAAGGGCAGAGGGAAATCTGAGATGCAGAGGGGACAGGAGAAGGCCATGTGAAGATGGAGGCAGAGATTGGATTCTTGGCAGCCATGGCCAAGCAATGCCTGGGGTTACCAGAAGCTGGAAGGGGCAAGGAAGGATCCTCCCCTAGAACCTTCAGAGGGAGCGTGGCCTTGCTGACACCTTGACTTCAGACTTCTGGCCTCCACGGCTGTGAAAAACTAAAATTCCTGTTGTTGTAAGCCACCAAGAATGGGCTAATTTGTTATGGCAGCCACGGGATACCAATATGGACTCCGCCGCGTTGAGTTGGGGTGGGGGGCACATAGAGGTGTTGACTGGGCAAGTGCATGAGCTCCCCTCAGGAGAGAGAGTCCAGGGCTGGAGATAAGGCTTTGGAAGCCCATTGAGCAGGTGGCAGTTTAAACCAGTGTTATCTCTGAGGGGACCCTGGAACATGGCTCCAGAAGCTCTTTCTCAGAAGCACAGAACCAAAAGCTTTCCAGATTTTTAAAAACAGATTTCACTCACTGATATAACCAAACACCCACACTATATATATATCAATGAAATGTAATGTTCATACCAAAGAATATGTTTATATGCATTTTAATATCTCCCAATAGATTAAAGAATATTTTTATCAGATTATTTTAAGTCAGGAATGCTTGCACTTCCTTGGACTTCTTCTGGGTCTGATGTGAGGCGAGCCCGTTTTACATCTGACACTACTGAGAATATATAGGGAGAAGGGCGTATACATTAGAAGGAAGTGCCAGAAATAGTATTTGTTAGTTTCTGAAATTGCATAGCATAAATTTCTCCCAGGGCCCCTGGGTGGGCAGAGGAAGTGCTTCAGTTTCCTCTTTATCACTTCTCTCAAAATGGTCCACTCGCCGATATTGCAAAAGTGACATTCCTCTCTTAGCACCTAGTATGCCTCTAACATTTGCAGGGCCTGGGCCAAGAGTACAAATAGAGGCCCGTGTAACGCATATCTAACAATCTCTCAATTATTAAACCCATAAACAGTTAATTAGAATGCAGTGTTTCTCTCTACCTTGACGAATAACTTCCTAATGCCCTGGAAGTCCCAGATCAAGTTCAGAACCAGCAGGCTTTTTGGAGTTCGCACTGGAATGTGGAACATGGGCAGGGCTCCCTCCGGGCCCTTTCTCCTCCCACTCCCTGCTCAACAGCACACCCGGAGGGGCCTCCCAGGATGCAGGCTGACACCAGTGCCCAGAGCCAAGCTTCGGCCACACGCTCCTACAAACAGAGCCTCAGGCCACCCTCAGGCCTGAGCACCACCGTGGCTCCAGAGGACTGGCCCAGAAAAGAGGCCCTGCATAGGCCCTACAGTTGATTTGGGACATTTGGGGCAGGAAATTCTGGGATCTAGGAATTTCTGGGATCTGGAATGGCCTAGGGACAAGTTTGGTCCTGTGGCTCTGTGGACTCCTTGACCAGCGAGAAGGGGCACAGAGCACAGGACCAGGACAGGGGCTCCTCTTGCCTAGGTAGATCTAAGGTGGGGGTGCTGGTCAGCCTGCACTCTAACAAGAGAGTCAGAGAAGTAGACCAACACCTGGCCAAGCTCATGTGCAGACTTTCTTGTGTACTTTTCAGTTTTGAGAAAATGCCAGGTTAAAAAATGAAGTACCATAGATATTTTGAGCCCTGATTAATAAACACTATTACCATGCCAGTATTTCACTGAGTTCTAGAAATCAAAGGTCAAATCCCTAAAAAGTTTTGAATATAGTAAAATAAGGCAATGAAGCAATAACGTGGGTGGCAGTGCTTTCTGGAAGTTTTTTCCACTTCTTCCTTTCTCCCTGCCTTCCTCCCTCCCTCCTTCCAATCCATCTCCTTCTTTCCAAAGCAGGAAGAGCCTAAATGAAGGCCATAGGCTTGGATGCAGTGGGAAAGTGCAGCTGAAGTACAAAGCAAGAGGGCCATGGCAGAATTCTAAGAGATGTCAATATCCAATAATCAAGCCAAAGAAGAGCTTCTACCAAGGAAAGTTCTGGAGTGGCATGGGAGGGAGAAGAGAGACTGGGGATCCATAGACTGGGGAGGAAAGAGTTCCACAGGAGGTTGTTGTCCAGAAGAGCAAATGCCTCAAGGAGGTACCATCTTCCTCAGGCCGACTGAAGCAAATTGGGCCCATGCCTCTTCCAGCCCAGTCCCTCTACTTCTCTGGAGAGCACCAGCTCTTCCTCATACCCCATGTGGGGCTGCTTCAGTCCTGCCCCATCTTTTCTCACCCTGCATTTCCCCGCTTTGTCACAGCTGTCCTCACCGTTGGCTTCCCAACGTCCATCTCCATCCCTGGTCTCTTTCTTGAGCCTCTAGCAGAACAGTGGGTCCCAAGCATGTGCTTTGGTTGAGGGAGATGCTCACCAGATAATAGTCCAATGACCTTGTCCAAAACAGAAATGTTCACCAGTGTTCCTGATTCCCAAAGCGAGGACAATCTACTTCATCTCTGGAGAGAAAAGTGTGCATAAGCCCTTTATCCTGTGCTCTTCCTGTCCCCTCAACATTGGAACGTTCTTGTCCTTTCCCCTGCTCCCCAGAAATGCTCTTTCCTTGGTCTGAAATGTTCTCTCCCCCATCCTGCCCTCCCAGTTCAAATGTCACCTCTTGGTGACTCCTCAGGCAGGAAGGCTTTTCTGGATAGTGTGTGTGTGTGTGTGTGTGTGTGTGTGTGTGTGTGTGTGTGTGTTCACCTCTTATATTTTTCATTTTATATTTTCATTGTCTCCTTTCCTCCACCAAAATTGTAAGGCTGGTAGGGAAAGTTTGCTTTACTCAGTGTACCCAGTGTTATAAACCAAATTTAAGGGCCCCAAATTTGTAGAACATAGTAATACTCTCTCATAGAAGTTTATTTAAAAGTTCAATGGGTGATGGGCACTCATATTAAGGAGGGCACTTGTTGAGATGAACACTGGATGTTACATATAAGTGATAAATCACTAAATTCTCCTTCTGAAACCAATACTGCATTATATGTTAACTAACATGAATTTAAATAAAAATAAAATTTAAAAGTTCAAATTTGATGAAGCAATCAGGAAAGATTTTGTTTAAGAATCCTTCAGTCTTTGTTAATCTGTTTTTCAGGGATCAGCCCCTCTGGGTTTATCCAGGTTTTAAAAGGGCAACCTACTATCTCCCATTCTGGGTGGGATCTGAGCCTAATATCTGTATTATGTATCATCACTTAATTATAGGAGAAAAGCTCTTAGATGTTCTGCAAGTATCTGGAATTTAAAATGCTTTAAACTCAGCCCCTTCCCCAATATCTGTGAACTTGATCCCTCATCTCTAAATTTTGTTCAAATGTTCCCTTCTCCAGAAAGTCTTCCTTACTCATTCTATTGAAATCTACAGCTGCCTCTTCCCTAGTCATTACGTACAACCTCTTTCCTGCTTCATTTTCCTCCATAGCACATATCACTCCCTGATATACTACATAGTTTATTAATAGTCTATTAATTACCTATCTCCCCTCAATAAAAGATAAGTTCCATGAGGGTGGAGTTTGTTCATTGCTGCATCCCAGTGCCTAGAGCAGTACCTGGCACATAGTAGGTCTTTTTTTTATTTGAGTGAGAGAAAGAGAGAGAGAGAAAGAGAGTGCATGAGCAGAGGAGAGGGGCAAGGGAGAAAGAGAGAGAATCTTAAGCAGTCTCCACATTCAGTGCACAGCCTGACGTGGGGTTCAATCCCATGACCCTGGGATCATGACCTGAGCTAAAATCGAGAGTCAGATGCCCAACCGACTGAGCCACCCTGGTGCCCCTGAACTATTTGATATTTTAAAAATCAATAGAGTTGTCCTAGAGAGTGGTGGCTTCCTATCACCCATTTCTACCTCAACTTCCATACTTCCATACTTCCACATGGCCCATTACCTGTCCAGGAAATGCTCACTCTAACTCTTCAACTTGGCTGTCAGAGAAAGGATGGGTCCTGATTAGTTTAAGCCATTATCTATCTGCATGTATGTTACCACCCCCTTCAGGAGGGCACAAGACGGAAGTTGACCCACTCAAGCGTTTTCTCTTTCCTCATAGATGTGGACAAGATAATGCCAACTGTCTCTGGCAGCCATCTTGTGACCACAAAACCAGCCAGGGGCAAAGCTGTCATTGAGCATGCAGAGCTGAGAGAGAAAGAGTTTGGGTCTTCCATGCACCCTATGTCTGTACTGCTGGTCCATTCATTCCCTTATTCTACAAATACTGATTGAGCACCTGGTATCCATCAAGTACCATTTTACATGCTGGGGATACAGCTGTAAATCTAAACAGACAAAAATCTACTTCATGGAGCTTCCATTCCTGGGGCAGGAGGTGGTGGGGAGAGTAGTGACATCATAAAAATGACTACAATACACAAGTAAATAACATATAAGTGCTATGTAAAAAAAAAAAAAAAAAAGCCATTTGCTAGAATGGATTTTCAAACACTGAAGTCCTATATGTGTTGTGTGTTCTTTTCAAAGATAAATCAAAACATCCCTTTTGGAAATTGACAATCGTTTAGTTTCCAATGTGTAAGAATACATCATTGTGCACTGGAGTTGGGATTCTGATCTTATTTTTTATCTAATCCAATGGTTGAAGACAGGTGGAAATTGTGAAGGACTTGGGAGCACTCCTGCTGATTGGGATTTAAAAAGGCATTTGTCTTTGGACGAGGGTAAAGACCACATGAATAAATATCAGAACTGCCTGTCAGTGTTGCAAAAATATCAGACACAAACAAGGCAAATGACAACAGAACAATAAAGCACGCATACACATATGTGGTGGTAATTCTTTGAAATGTGGATTACCAATGCACTGGCAATGAAAATGAACCAATGCTATCATGCATCACATATTTTGGAGATGCTCCTAAATTCTGGCATAAATTTATCCAACATCAAGCATCATTTTGAAATGTACATGGAATACCATATAAAAATGATCAGAGCAACTTAACATTACAACCAGAATACAGTGTATCAGGAGATAAAAGTGTAAACTCTGCTGAAGCCAAATGCATATGATTATATTTAATTGCAAAGCCTGGAACTGCTAAGTTTATTGACAAATTGTCAGTCCTGACACCAAAAAAAAAAAAAAAAAAAGCGGAGAATGATGATCAAAGTAAACATAATGACTGACGAGATATCTCTGTCCAGCAAAATAAATGACAGAAATGGCAGCCGATATAGAGCAGCCATTTTTATCGGTACAACAAAGTGAAATGAGTCACTGAAAACTGGCAAACCCAAGTGATATTCTGAATCCTGGTGGTTTTTTTTTTTTTTTAGGATTGTCAGTATGACAGCCTATGAGTCAAGTGAAGAAGCCCATGAAAATATTTTATGCTGCCAATTTTGGCCAGCTTGTACGGACAACTGACTGATAACTTGCAGTATGGACTGGAAGCAAGAATTTAGGGTAGGCATGGATGGGCTGAAGCTCTGGCTGGCAACATGAGAAATCTGTCTCCATATTCAAGCTGTTACCGCAAAGCTGTGTCTCCTCAGTGCCCTTATATACAAAGAAACCGTTGCCCTCCAGAATGCGTGTGCAGATTTAAGACAAGTACTTAATGAAGCTGATAAACTTGTCAATCATGTCACAAGCAGGCAGTTCAATAAAGACCTGACCTGTTTTCTTGGCTGAGTGAAGAGACGGGTGGTGACTACAAAGAACCACTGTTTCAAATGAAAGCTCATTGTCTTTTGATTAGAAAAAGTTTTTACTCTACTGAGTTATAAGGGGAACTTTATTTTTTCAGAGAAAACTTTCCTTTGGTGAGATAGTATAGCAGGGTGGGCATGGCTTACAAGTTAGTCTGTGTGCTCATCTCAACTCCTGTACATGCTGTTACCAGGCAAGTGTATGAGGAGTCGGCCATGGACACCCGGGAGATGCACTGGCAGAAACCTGGCCCCGTCTGGCAGAGACTTCGATCCTGGGACTTGAGGTTTTTGCTGTTGCCTGAAAGACCTGGTTTTTAACTCATCTGAAAATAGGAGGAGACATTAGATGACTTAATAAAAAGGCCAAGGAGTCAAACTGGAAGTGGTTTAGTAGACAAGGAAACTTTTACTGCACTACTTTAGGACATCACCAAATAATTTTGGACCTTAGTATGAAGAACGGATCCTAGAGATAGTGTCAGATGGTTTCTTCAAACTACTTTTCTGGTTCTTTCGTTCGGGGTTTTTGTTTTTGAATACAGTCATTTATATCATTTTCTTCCACTCGCATCATTTTGAGTGGGAATTATCTTTCAGCATCTGATCCAGTCAGGGGAGACAGTTAAACAGAGTAGGAGTCAACGGTTACTGGCACTTTCTTTGTGCAAGGGACCGTTGGAAGTGCACATACTCATTTAATCCTCTTAGTGACACCGTCAGGTAATATCATCCCATAAATAAGTGACTGTTATTATCTTTGTTTTATAGATATTGAAACTTAGGCACAAAAGGTTAAGCACTTTGCCCAAGGTCGCACAGGTAGAAAAGCCAGGATTAAAGGCCAGACAATTCTGCCTGCCAAGGGCAAACTTTCAACCATTGCGCTATATTTTTTAAATATATAAATATGCATGTATGTATATACTTAACATAAGTGGTACTTTATTGCTCCTGCAACAAATGGCCACAAGCCTACTGGTTAAAGCAGCATGCGGTTATTATCTTAGCATCATGGAGGTCAGAAGTCCGAAATGGATGTCACCAGGGCTGCGTTCCTTCTGGAGGCTCTAGGGAGAATCTGTTTCCTTGCTTTTTTCATTTTCTAGAGGTTACCTGCATCCCTCGACTCTTGGCTCCCTTCCCCCATCTTCAAAGGCAGAAGTGTCACACTTTCAGTTCTCTCTCTGACTCTGACAATGATTCTCCTGTCTCCCTCTTTTGCTTGTAAGGACACTTGAGATTACATCTGGATAATCCAGGATCATCTCTTGATTGTTAAGGTCATTGACTAGCAACCCTAATTCCATCTGCAACCTGAATTACTCCTTGCCACATAGCATAACATGTTCACAGGTTCCGGGAGTTGGGACATGGATATCTTAGCGAGGTCGCCATCCTGCCAACCGTAACTTTCTTAGTTCACACTCCGAAACTTAAAACCCAAAACGGTGTCCAGTGGATAATCTCCCTCTATGTCTGCTCCCTGGCCACATAGCTCCCTTCCTCAGAAGCAACTGATGTTATCCTGTGTCCTAGATATATTTTATGCATGTAAAGGCAAATATGTATATTTGTTATTTTTTTAATTGTTTGATCTTCCCTACAAACACTGTCCTACATATTGCTTGTTTTCATTTAAAAGTTATGTCCTGGAGATCGGTCAGGTTGATATATAAAGATCTGGGTGTGCTTCTTTTCTGTGTCTACATCATCTTCCACTCCATGAGTGTATATTATGTTGTATTTACCTTCTTCACTTAGCCCACAGGACAGGTCGGGGGGGGGGGGTCTCCAATCTTTCAGTTGTTTTCAGTGTTTTGCGATACAAACAATGCTGTAGTGAACAGCTTTGTACCCTCGTCTGGAAAGTGTAGAGTGTGTCTATAGGATTAACCTCTAGAAGGAGAATGACAGGGTCATGGAGTCTGTGCATGTGTCATTTAGCTAGCTAATGCGAAACTGCCTTCTTTTACCCTTTCCAATTAGGAATTAAAAAAATAAATAAAGGGGCGCCTAGGTGGCTCAGTCGGTTAAGCGTCTGACTTCGGCTCAGGTCACGATCTCATGGCTTATGAGTTCAAGCCCCAATCAGGCTCTGTGCTGACAGCTCAGAGCCTGGAGTCTGCTTCAGATTCTTTGTCTCCCTCTCTCTCTCTGCCCCTCCCCTGCTCACACTCTGTCTCTCCCCCAAAATAAAATAAACATTAAAAAAGTTTTAAAAAATAAATAAAAAAAATAAAGAACTTACATTTACCTAACAAATGTAATAAATAGCTCTTGATGTCTAGGAACGTGTTCTAAAAATGTCAGTAGATATGTTATTTGCTTTTCATTATTGTCTTTTAATCCTCTTAACATTTCAAGTTTAACAACCTGTTTTGCTTTTATTGTAATTTTTAAATTTTCTTCTTTATGGTGAGTGATATTGGCTTTCTGTCTATAAAGTACTATAAACTCCCATTTAAATATATTTCTTTGGGGAAAAAAACCAATATATTTCTTTGCCACACCTGGGTGGCTCAGTTGGTTGAGCATCTGGCTCTTGATTTCAGCTCAGGTCATGATCTCAGGGCTGTGGGGTTGAGCCCACATCAGGCTCCATGTGGAGCCTGCTTAAGATTCTTTCTCTCTTCCTCTGACCCTCTCCCCTGCTCTCTCTCACTCTCTCTCAAATTAAAAAAAAAAATTAAGGATGGTATTTATAAAAATAAATAAGTGAATGTATATATTTCTAAAAGGGTGAGATGATTTAAAGACAAATAATATGTCAATAATAATACAGAAGTTACCCTGACATGGCCAAAAATTATGAGGGAGGTGTCCTAATGGCTGATTCCTCGCATCAAATCACTACTACCTGATTAGTTTTTGTTGAGGTTTTTTTTTTTTTTTTCCATAACAGAGAATCATTGTCAACAGCAAGATCCTTAATAGACAAAGGGGGGTGGGGACTGGCAAAGCAGAAATTCTGCAGAAGCTGCCTTTGTGATATTCTCAAATGCTTTTAAATCCTATCTCGTGGATGGAAGCCAGAAACTCGGGCACCCAACAGAGAAAAAGTCAAATTCAAATAGATAAACTGAAATAATTAAAACCAGACAGTCCTAGAGCGTTAGGCTTCCTGCTACTAGTCAGGCGACAGCTTTTAGGGAAGTCTAGCCTTGATTCATGTGCTATAAACATGCTCACCTTTTTCATCCTTTGCTATGAACACTCAGCCTAGCTCACCCACTTTGTGGATCGCGGGGGGGGGGGGCAAACTTTAATCAGGGCTCTCCCCTGGGGCGTATCCTTGTTGTGACGGAGCGTATCGCATTCCTTAGTTGAAAAATGAGGGGATGCAAGCTCTTTTTAATGTTTGCTATGCCAACATTCCCCAAGGGAGGGGACTACAGAAAAGAGTTTTGGGGGACTTCAATGAATATTACTTGGAAAAGGAATTCTATGATTAGATGTTTGGAAAACTTTGAGTTAAAAGCTTTCTTTACTGCAGGCCAGCTCACAGCATTTAGTATGCTCTCTGGCCAGAACCATGAACTCAGTTTATCTCAAAGGACCAGCGTTTCCTGGACCACCGGGTGTTCAGTGGTGCTAGCCTAGACAAAACATAATTAGGAAAGTGAAACTTTACCTGAATTAGACAACGTACTCTCAAAGCTAAATTTGGGATAACTGGGGTTACCTGCTTTCTTGGATTATTCACATGCTGATCATTTCCAATGACCAAAGCACTTGCTTTGTGCCGGCTACTGTGCTAACATCTCAATGAATCTTACGACGACCCTGAAAAGGTCTTCTTTAATCTCTACTTTAACAAAAATAAATTAAGGATCAGAAAGACTAACTAAATTCATCCGTTTAACAAATCTTTCGGTTTATTTATTCTGAAAGAGAGAGAGCGCACGAGCAGGGTGAGGGCAGAGAGAGAGGGAGAGAGAGAATCCCAAGCAGGCTGCCCACTCTCAGAGCAGAACTCGACACGGGGCTCAATCTTATGATCCACGAGATCCTGACCTGAGCCGAAATCAAGAGTTGGACGCTGAACCAAGTCACCCAGGCGCCCCCATTTAATAAATTTTTATTATGAAGCTCCTGCTAAGCACTGGGCCTGACTCACTGGCTCCACAGCCCTAATGTCCTGCAGATTGGGCCCTGTAACCAAGAGTGAGCACTCTTGGCAAGCAGAAAAACAAACCTAACAGAGCTCCCGGCGTATGTTTGGGAGATACTGTGACATAGTGGCTTGGAGCAGGGGCTCTAGAGTCTAAATCTGTTAGAATCTCAGCTTTTCCATCTGAAAAATGGGTCTAGAAAGAATACCCCACCTCAGAAGGAGGTTGTGGCGATTGAGTGAAATCATACCGGGAATATGTTTTGCGTGGAGCAGTTACATGGAAATGCTCAACAACTGTCAGCTTGACCTGTGGGTCAAGATGTGAGGAACTCAAGTGTTCAGGCTTTCCGTGAACACACTGCCTGTCTCCTCTATCTAAAATCGCCAAGAGAGGGAGGAAGGGAGCAGAAAAGGAAGGAAGGAAAGCAGACTATCAAAAACGTTGATTCTTCTGGTCACACTGATTTGGGGTTGGTGGTGGCGTTCTAGAATTGGCTTCCATGTCAAGCAAAACTCCCCACGTAGAGATCCCAGCTCGTCTGGAACAGAGAACACTGGAGGTCAGAGTAGCTCTCCTGAGGGGAGAAACATTTTTGGACAAGAACACAGAGCGTTCAGAATGCACCCAGAATCATCAAACTCAAGAAATCTGACACTAGGATTGAAAAAATCACAATTAATGGGAACTGAGCTGATGTCTTAAAGACTCTGGGAAGGGGGCGCCTGGGTGGTGCAGTCGGTTAAGCGTCCGACTTCAGCCAGGTCACGATCTCGCAGTCCGTGAGTTCGAGCCCCGCGTCGGGCTCTGGGCTGATGGCTCGGAGCCTGGAGCCTGTTTCCGGTTCTGTGTCTCCCTCTCTCTCTGCCCCTCCCCCGTTCATGCTCTGTCTCGCTCTGTCCCAAAAATAAATAAACGTTGAAAAAAAAATTAAAAAAAAAAAAAAAAAAGACTCTGGGAAGTCTGGTTGAGTGAGCAACTCCTAATTAAAGAACAGACCTGGACACAATGGGGACTTTGTCGGGGGTGGATCAGGCCAACATTCCCTGAAGTCCCTGATCACTCTGAATTCCACTAAGCACTATGTGCCTCTAGAGGTCACACAAGAGGAAGATCCCAGAACTGCCTGAAGACTTCTTACAAAAAAGTAAAAATAAAAACTTGAACATGACTCCAATCAAGTCTCTAGACTTGATGTGATAGAAAACCCAGGGGAAACAGAACATGTTAAATGACACCATAAAGATGCAATCAGCCAACCCAGAGCCAGGAAAACTATCGAACAAATGAACAAACAACTTTTGTTCAAATAAATGGATTTTTTTTTTTTTAATTTGGGAATTGTTAGAGATTCATTCGGGAATTGTTAGAGATTTGATGGGATTTAAGAAATGCAAAGTGTGGTACTTGTTTGGGTTCTAGTCAAAGAAACCAACTGAAAAATGGCATTTTTTGGAGACAACTGGGGAAAATTGAGCCAATTGGACAATAATGGAGTCTGAGTGTATTGTTATTATATCTCACCAGCAGGATATTAGATGATGTTAAAAAGTTCTTGGTAATTTTAGGTATGAGAACAGTCTCATGTTATATTTTTATTAAAGTACTTATTGGTTAGCGATAAATCCTGAAGTATTTACAAGCGAAATGACACGTCGTCTGGAATTCACTTTAAAATATTCCAGCAAAAGCAAACAGACCATTAAAATTGTTTGGTTGGGGAAGACTGAATGAAACAGCAGGACAGTGCTTGAGGCTGAGTGTTGAATACATGGGGCTTCATTACCCTCCGTTCTACATGTGTGTATGTTTTTAAAATGCCATTAGAAGTTAAATGAATACAATTAATTTCTGAAATCTTGAGAGCTGAAACGGAGGAGTTTTCCAGGCTCCTATCAAAGGGAAAACTGGTATGTGGTGAGATTCCAAGAGGTGGCAGCCCCAGGGAGCCCTGCCGGGCAGCAGTTTCTCAGCAGCACAAGACGTCTACTCCCCGCACGGCCATTGTAAAGCTGTCTATTTGACATGCTGCACTGGCTTCTATAATGTCTAACTATCTACAGAGCTAATTAAATTATTAGACTCAGAGCTGTGAGATGGCCCAGTTTACATGCAGAGAATACCTCTTCCAATGCTGTAGCCACTAAGCGAATTCCCCTTGAAGTCATAATTAGTCATCCGGAGTGCTTCCCAATCAAGTTGTGTCTCTGATAAAGAATTCCCAGTTTGCTCCTAACACTTCCCTGGTGGTGAGATTGTTTATTTAATTTCAGCACAAACAGATGGAGGCGGGGGCAGACCAGGAGAAAAAGGTTTCTCAGTCTGGCCTGGAAGGGCCAGTTTTTGAGTTAGGGCGTCCAGTGAGGGGGGCCTCTACTGAACTGACAGGGACTGAGTTTATGCCTCTTCAAAGGCTCAGACATGGCCTGTTGCCTGTGATGTCTTTGTGATGAGGGAACTGTGCCCCCTGTCTTCTCTGCCAGCATCCATCAAGGTCAGAGAAGGGGGTTAGGCCTTCTCTGTGTGGGAGATGGAAAAGCCACTGTGCTGAGAACCAAAGACGTGGGCTCAGGGTAAGTCTCCACACTCATCTTCGGCCCTAGGGTCCTCGTCTACAAGATGGTGGCTGAACAAAGAGATTTCAAAGATTCCTTTCCGGTTACGAAATGGGTTTAAGTGGCTGGGGTTCTTTTGAGAAATGGTCCAAAAACTCAGAGTGACATGTTTGCAGTTTGCATCCTCAGCAGAGCTATAAGCATCATAGCTTAGTGGCCAAGAAAGGACTCTGAAGCCAGAGCGCTTGGGTTCTGGTGCAGCTACTGCCCAACCGCCCGCCGGGCGCGGCGCCCCCCACCCCGCCGCAACAGTGTGGCCTATTGCTTAACCTCTTGAAACTCGTTTCCCCTCTGTCAAATGAGGATAACAGCAGGAATTTCCTCGCAGGTTTTATGAGGACCAAGGAAATGAATACACATACAGAGCTGTTGCTATGACGTTTATCAAGAAAAGTAACACTTTATACACCTTTACAGCCCTAGGAGTGAAGCATGATGCTGTTGACATTTTGTGATTGAAATTAGGCCCTCCCCACTGATTTTAGAGTCTGGAAGACGGGCATTCCTATTAAAACCTTGGCCCTAGGTGCGTCTGGTTGGCTCAGAGACCCACACTTAATTTCGGCTCAGGTCATGATCTCACATTTGTGACATAGAGCCCGTCTTGAGTGTGAAGCTTGCTTGGGATTCTTTCTCTGCTCTTCCCCTCACTCATTCCCTCTCTTTCTCTCAAAATAAAAACAAACCTTGGCCTTGACACTGATACTATTGATATGAAGTAGTGTTTATTGAACACATTATTTTCTAAACTTGCTTTAAAAATTTTTCTTTTAATGTTTATTTTTTTTTAATTTTTTTTTCAACGTTTATTTATTTTTGGGACAGAGAGAGACAGAGCATGAAGGGGGGAGGGGCAGAGAGAGAGGGAGTCACAGAATCGGAAGCAGGCTCCAGGCTCTGAGCCATCAGCCCAGAGCCTGACGCGGGGCTCGAACTCACGGACCGCGAGATCGTGACCTGGCTGAAGTCGGATGCTTAACCGACTGCGCCACCCAGGCGCCCCAAATGTTTATTTATTTTTGAAAGAGAGAGAGAGAGAGAGAGAGAGAGAGAGAGAGAGAGACAGAGCATGAGTGTGGGAAGGGTAGAGAGGGAGGGAGGAAGACACAAAATCTGAAGCAGGCTCCGGGCTCTGAGCTGTCAGCACAGAGCCCGATGCAGGGCTCAAACTCACGAGCTGCGAGATCATGACCTGAGCCAAAGTCGGACGCTTAACCGACTGAGCCACCCAGGCGCCCCTCTAAACTTGCTTTTTAAGTCAGAAGGTTGGAAGGACAGAAGGTTGGAAAGGACCTCTAGGGTTTTCCAGCTTTAGCCTCAATCAGAAGTTCAAGGCCATGTACAAAATCTGCCCAGTGACACGTCGTGTTCTGCTTGAATTCCTCCGGGGACATGGGGCTTACAGCCTTCTGACAGACCTGCTCTTTGAACCTTGCCCCAGGAGAAAACATGAAAAGAACTGAGGATCTTTAAGCTGGAAAACAGGTTAGTGGAAACATAGCTGACTTTAAATATTTGAAGGATCGTTATCAGTGTTAAAAGAAAAATGAACATTAAGCATGGCCATTAATGTATTGTCATTACGGTGATCATTTATCCACCTCGCGCCCTATGTCAGACACCACACAAAATGCCTTGTGTGACTTCCAATTTAATCCTTCAACATCCCCCTAAGACAGTATTAGTATTCTGATGTTATAGTTGAGGAAACTGAGGTAGAGGACAGTTAGGTAAAACTCTGCCCTAGGAGATACAGTCAGGGGCAAAAACAGGATTGGTCTGACTTTGGAAGGTAGAATGAGAACTGTTTTTGCAGAAATTCCTGGGACCCTAAGGCACCCACTGTCTGGGAAGCAGGTTTGGGAGCAACATGATGAGAACTTTAACATGAGACTGAACTCATTTCAGGTAAGGAAGGGTTGCAGGGCTTTTGTAAAACACACACACACACTCTGATCAGCCTGACATGGGTTTCTGGAGAGACAGTGCGTAGACAGGAAGGGTGGGGACCTGGGGAGGCCAGACGGGTGAAATGGGGTGGTAGAGAGGGTTGCCCATGGCCGGTGACAGGGCTGGAGAGAACACCCAGGAGGCATGACTGGCGTGCCTGCAAATGTGTGGTCTCCAGCGCAGCTCTGCCTCCCCACTGTTCCCTCCACAGTGGACCCTATTCTGGACCAATCTCCCTGAGCAAACGCCACTCTTCCTACTTCACAGGGAAGGTAGAGGTCATTGGGCATAGCTGACCTCAACTGTCAGCCTCTCTTCATGACCTTCACTTCCTCCTCCCCTGCTTCAAGAACGGGGCTCCAAGAACATCTCGGGATCTTGACTTACACACTCTCCACTCTCTTTCTTGAACCTTTATCTGCCCTGTCCTGGCTTCTTTCCATCTGCCTGCCACCTTGTCAAAAACACAGGGGAAGATAACTCTTGTGATCCTGCACCCAGCTCGCAGCAAGTGTCCCGACCCCCTTTTCAAACCAAGCTTCTAAAACACAGTTGGCACTCACTCTCTCCAGTCCTTTGAGGATCTGCCGTCAGCCCAGCCCATCCAGCTTCCAAACACACCCACGTGGGAACTGAGGACACCTCTGGCCTCTCAGTTCCTACTGTCCAGCAAACACTTGTGGCCTCAGCCTTACCTGACCGGATCTGTTACTCACTCCCTCTTTATGAAATTCCCATTTCTCCTGGTTGCTATAAAACACTTTCTTGGTTTCCCCCTTACCTTTCTGGCTCTTTCTGGATCCTCTTTCTCTGGGGCCTCTTACTTGTTTACCAGGAGCCATCTGAGCCCCTATGCCCAGTCTAGACCCCCTGCAGGACCATTCACCCCCACATGGCTTCTCCACACTGCCCACCCTCCCAATCTAGACATCCAGCTGTCACCCAACAAACACCTCAGCCCCTACATAGAGCTGCCTACTAAGGGGGGGCTCTGGACCCTCCGTGTAGAAAATAAAAAACGCCCCCCCGCCCCCGCCCTACAAATCTGCCAAACAGCTTTAGGGGATTCCTGAGAGATGCTGAACTATACTCACCACCCTACACAACATGAAGTGTTAAGGCTTCCTATGGTCCCAGGCTAGGGCAAACTCTAATGGGATCCTCTGACCCAACTCCTTCTGCCTTCCTCTAACGTCAGACCTTCTGGCTCTGCCTTTGCCTCGGCCCTCCAAGGCTGAACTGTGGGTATGTGATCTTTCCTCCACTAATTTGCTTCCTTTTGGTCCCTTTTCTCAACCCCCTATTCTCCCACTTCCCCAACACCTGCAATGCCACACATTACATCTCTATTGCAGCCCTCTCCCCTCCCCTTGCATACACTATTTATAGAGGCCAAATACATTATTATGTCAGCTACCTTTGCAGCTCACTTACATGTTGGGAGAATAGAAATGGCTCACACAGACACCATGACAGGTGCTGTGTCAAAGTCACGGACGAAGACCACACACGGGTGCTTCTCAGTCCTCAGCACAGGCTCCAGACTATGGAGAGGCCGCATCAGCTGGGCCTCAAGGCACAGACTGCCTGAAAAGGAAAAGAGTAGCCTTCCCCACGGAGGGCTCCCAGGGGACCCAGAGCACCCAGGATCTCATAGAAACAAGAGGTGTCCTGGCCTCAGGACAATGCTGAGGGTGGGTGAGAGGAGGAGCAAGAAGAGGAACATTCTGGCTGGGAAGCTTGCAGACGCCCTGCTGTGGGTCTGCGTCCCAACGGGGCAACTGAATCAGGCTCCTCTGGGCTCCCTCTGTGCCCTTTGGCCTTTTTCCTTCACCAGAACCAGTGTTTGTTCTTTGTCAGGAGCAGTTGTCCTAGGCTGGTGCTTCTCCTTTTTCTTCTTCTGAGGCCAGCATTTCGGTGTGCTCCACCCCTGCCCTTTTCTTTGGCCCCACCCCCCCCTCCGAACTGGGCTGACCCTGGGGGGGGGGGGCAACCCTTCCCCTTCCCTCCCCCCTCTCCCTTTTTACCCCCCCCCCCCCCCATCCTCCTCCTTCCTACCTACTTCCTCCCTCTCCCTGCCTCCTCCCTCCCTCATCCCTCCTCCCTCCCCTCCTCCCTCTTACCTCTCTCCTCTCCTTCTCCCCCTCTTACCTCTCTCCCACCTCCTTCTCTCTTCCGTCTGCTCCCTTCTCCCTGTACTGGGACTCAGAACTGTGCCCACCCCAGGGAGCTCAACATGCATTTCATGAGGGCCATTGGGTGTTGCTCGGATATTCTCAGACACCCCAGAACAAGCGGTAGATAACAGGGTGGTTATAGACCCTCAATGTACACGGGGCTCTCCTGTGGTTGCTTTCTGATAACCAAACACCTCGCTCAGGATGGGGACCCGAGATATTCTTACACTGCTCTGGCAACTCTCGTTACATCTGTGGACAATAATTTTTGTCTGGATACCCAATAACTTTTGTTTCAGCTTGGCCCACTCTTGAATTCTCCGTAGATCAAAGCAGCTTAACCAAGAATGTCAGAAAGCAAGCATTTTCTGAATTAACAAGAACCACCACCACAATCTTTCAAGAAGAAGAAGAAGAAGAAGAAGAAGAAGAAGAAGAAGAAGAAGAAGAAAGAAGAAGAAGAAGAAGAAGAAGAAGGGGAGGAGGGGGAGGGGGAGGGGGAGGAGGGAGAGGGGGAGGAGGAGGAAGAAGAACACCAGAGGAAATATAAAAGAGATTTCAACCAGACGACTCTCACCTAAAAAGTTCTTGTAAAAATAGGTAGATCGTGTATCTGTCCCACATTGCCTGGGTCTCTAAAGCCCAGATAACAAAAATCAGTTCAAATCCTTTTTTTTTTTTTTCTCTAAAATAAGAATTTATGGAATGCTGTTGCCTTTTAGAGGCTGGGAAAGTGGGAAACACCGTGAAGCTGAGCTTTGGCGTGATAACCACCGCCACCGCCGGGTGTCACACACCAAGGCGAGGCGCTGTGCCAACCGCGGCAGACACGTTACTTAATTTCACCCCCTTGGAGCCCTGTGAAGCAGATATCATCGTCCCATTTTGCAGGCCCCAGAGAATGTATTTCATGACCCAGGAGTCAAACTCGATTCTTTCAAACTGCAAAGTCTTGACGCTTAGCCCCTGCACTCCCCCTGCCTCATGCTGTATTTCAGGTTCCCGCCAGATCCATTATCATTCACTCCCATTGCCTTTAGCAAGACTCCCAGCATCATTCCCAGCTCAGCTAAGGGCAGAAAACACAGAACTCGTGGAGTGCTTGTCCCTTAATGTCTTGAAGGCAATACCAGTGCGATCTAGATCAGGACTTCTCAACCTCAGCATTACACATGCTTTGCCTGGGATAATTCTTGGGGGGGGGGGGGGGCTGTCCTGTGTGTGGTACGATGCTTAGTAGCATCTCTGTCCTCTGCCCACTAGAATCCAGCAACATCCCTTCCCGCCACCCGTCGTGGCAACAAGAGTATCTCCAGACAGGGCCAAGTGTCCACTGGGTGGAAGACACTGCCCTCAGTTGGAACCACCCATCTAGACGTCCAGACCATCAGCGGGGACCCAACACCTCATCCCTGCCCCACCAACTTTGCTCTCTATGCTTTGCGTACTCCTACCTTGAAGCAACAGACCTGGCAATCCCACAGCAGGATGGGCAGGAAGAGAGTGGCTGTGAAGAACTCAGTAACAGGTGATCTCTAGAAGTCAGGTAGGTTGGCAGCTGGCATCGGGTTTCCGGATTTTTCCACATAGGCCAGTATTTTCTTTTATTTTTTCTTTGTTTTAAAAATTTTGTTTTTAACGTTTATTTATTTTTGAGACAGAGAGACACAGAGCATGAGCAGGGGAGGGCAGAGAGAGAGGGAGACACAGATTCGGAAGCAGGCTCCAGGCTCTGAGCCATCAGCCCAGAGCCCGACGTGGGGCTCAAACTCATGGACCATGAGATGGTGACCTGAGCTAAAGTCGGACGCTTAACGGACTGAGCCACCCAGGCGCCCCAGGCCAGTATTTTCTTGACGAAAACGTCAATTTTACTTCCCCTCATGTCAAGTCTTTTACACAAAGACCATTCTTAGTATGTTTCTATTTTAAAGGTCATAGATGTGAAGACTAGGAAAACTAGGCAGAAAAATGCTCACGACAATGAAAAGAGCAGGTGACAAAAACTGTATGAACTCTGTCGTGGCATCTAACGTGACAAGAGAAATGATGGAATGAAGGATTATGGGTGGTGTCTTCCTCCTTTTTCTAAATTCCCTTCCTCCTCTTTCTAAAGGTAACTTCCAACGTACCTTCGTAATTTAGAAGGTAAAATTCCAGATGGTGTCCCCAGACGTAGGTCTCCCTACCCCCCTCTCCAGGTCGTGTCTCCAGAGCAGTAACCTCACAATGAACAATTACTACCTGCTCCCTGAATTGCCACCTAGATCCCCAGTGTGACCATAGACAATGTCATCTGTATAGGCTGTGCCGTATCTAAACTGCACTTGATACGTTTGTTTAATGAAGTTTATTAAAATTCAAAAATGATTACATTATTTTTCAGAAAAAAATGAAGATTGATTCTTCCATTGCCTGATCCCATTTGAGCATCTGAAACCAACTGTGGCTGAGACCCCCCCCCCCCCCACTCCCTCCCAGGGATTCCCTTACCTGGAGGCAGCCTGGAGGCAGAGGTGGACCCTCCTCCCTCCACTGTGGCCACTTTGGCACTTTAGGCCCCGCCCCTAACCTGAGCTGGACCCATCAGATTCTCTTTCTTAGAAATTCGGAATTTTGAACCAATAGACCTAGGCCCTTGTCCTGTTCATGTAAGCGGCAGCTCTCCAAAAAGTCTGTAATAAATTCCTGCTACTTGGATCCCCGATTTCTGTTCCTTCTGCAATCTGGTTGGTCCATTTTGCCTGGAATCCTCCCCCACCAAAAATAATAATTTTATTTGTTTGTTTGAGCTGGTTCTAATTCGAATTGACTCTTGCTTCTTCCAACTCAAAGAATCTTAACTCCTAGATGTCATAATTGACATCTCTTTATTATCCACATAAATATCAGGCCATAAGTATTCTGACCCTCTTGCCAGTGGTGATGTCTTTTATGGTCACATCTGAAGAGCAGAAATACTGGCTTCCGTCAGACTGGTTGCATTCTCAGCTCTGCCCCTTTAAGCGCGAGTTTCCTTATAGGGTATGTGGGCACTTAACTGCTGTTGCAGGGGATGAAGGGCTTTGAATGAGGGGTGTGCTCGGGGCTATTTCTGCAAGGGGCTGTTTCCCCTTTACATTCTGTCTCAAGCAAGAAGATACTCGCTCTTCTTTAGTAACTCATGGTCTAAAAAAACAAAATCCCATTTTGCAAAAACAGTCTATATTTCTCTCTGTGCACTTCCCACATTTTTTTTTTTTTCTCTCCCCAAATCCCAACACTTGATTTGAAGCATGTCTTCAAGGCCTTCCGTTTCCTATCTGGGATTTCCTGACCTTAGAGATGCCCGTTAGGTTTTTTCTGACATAGAATTTGGGTCCTCAGGAGAGTCCCTAACACTGAGTAGTGGTTAACGAGCTTGGAACCTCTTTAGAGATGCTTTACCAACATCTCATACATTTGATCCAGAAGTACTGATGATTACTGAGTGCTTACTGTGTGCTTTGCTTAAGTGGTCTTATTTAATCCTCATGCAACTCTGTGAGGTAGGTACGATCATTCCACCCATTTTACAGAAGAAACTAAGGCTCCGAGCGGTTAAATAATCTGCTCAGTGTCACATAACTGGTAACCGGTAGACCTTGTGTGCTCAGCTGCCATCTGTGCTAAATTTGCTGCCTTTACGTTACATATGACTAACTTCCTGGCCTGCCCTCAGTGAATGATGAGCCAAGCACCGGGACACCCGTGTTCATCTTGGGCCCAGAGCAAAGTTCTCTGTATCGAGGGGCCTGAAGGGTCCTTCCGCACAGGGCCTGGGAGCAAATACCCTGCTTTTCCCGAGAAAGTCCCCGTGTGTTGTGCAATCCTGTCATTTAGAGTTACTGCTCCTCCTTCTCCTGTCTCATCCATCTACGTGCTGTCTACACCCTCGGCTTCTTGCACTTCTGCTTTTTTTTTTTTAATTCTTTTTTAACGTTTATTTATTTTTTGAGAGACAGAGAGAGACGGAGCAGGAGCAGGGGAGGGGCAGAGAGAGAGGGTGACACAGAATCCAGAGAGCACGCTCCAGGCTCCGAGCTGTCAGCGCAGAGTCCGATGCGGGGCTGGAACGCACAAGCCGTGAGGTCATGACCTGAGCCGAAGTCGGACGTTCAACCGACTGAGCCACCCAGACGCCCCCTTCTTGCGCTTCTGTTTAGTGAGCACTTGCTATGTACTGCATGAATGCACAGAACATATTTCACAATAAATATCACCTCTTGTTTTTGTCATTAGGGTTCACACCACCGCCCCCCCCCCCCCGAGCCCACACACACACATGGGCCCACATGGCCCTGTGTGATCTATCCTGAGCCACCTCCCTGACCACCTCCCACCCCCTCCCTCTCCCTCACAGGCTCCGGCCACACTAGTTTCCTTGCTGCAAGCTCGCTCCTGCTTCAGAGACTTGGCATCTAGCATTCCTTCTGTCCGGATTGCTTACCCGCTTCCCTCAGTTCCCGCCTCAAATATTTCTCAAAACCTGTGCTATGCCCTCTTCATAAATGATCTCATTTCGTCCTCAGCAATCCTATGAGGTAGGTACCATGTTGGGTTAAGCGCCTATGAAATTGCCAGTATTTGACCATTTGACTTACCGGAAAGCAGCTTCCTATTGTTCAACCTAATATTATGCCTATTTTACAGAGGAAGGAATTGGGCCTTAAATAATTTGGCCAAGGTCACACTGTTATCAAGCGGCAGGGACAGGATTCAGTCTTAGACCTCTTTTATCCTAAGGTCCACACCCTTAATGTCTAACCATTTGCCCCCAGACCTTCCCTGTTTCTTTCTTGGATTTTTGTCCTTCCATTTGGTCAAGGAGCATGACATACCCTCTACGAAGCTGGGGTACCAAGAAACTGAAACACTAATGTTCCCACTTGAAGAGCCTCGAGCCTTCCAGTCAACACAGAGGCTGCCTACCTGGATCTTTCCTGTCTCTGCTATCTGGCTCCAAGCCGCTGGTAAGTGAGCCCAGACAGCCAAGGATGAGCCCTACAGACCAGATCTGCACTTCCTGAAAAGTGAGGGGGCATCACAAGCTGTTAGGCCTTGGGGATCTTGCCTGAAAACAGAAAAATGGCTCAGAAACTGGGGAGGAGAAAAGAAACCTGGACACTTAAAAACACTATTTTAACACTGTTAAACCCTGTTATAACTCTCTCATCGGCTGAGCAGAAGCCTCCCTAGGTAGTAAGCATATAGCCAGGGGCTTGGGGAAGTGTCTGAGAACCAACATCAGAAGAGAGGGCAATGTTAATTAGCACAAGTGTATGGGGTACCTGGGTGGCTCAGGCGGTTATGTGTCAAACTCTGGATTTCTGTTCAGGTCATGATCTCAGGATCCATGGTCATGATCTCAGGGCCCAGGTAAGGGCCTTGATCTCTAAGGGCCCTGATCTTGGCTCAGGTCATGATCTC